CACCTTAACAATAACAAGAATAATAATAATTATCTCACGTCTATTGATTGTATACACAACTTAATTACGCCTCCCTAATTTGTGCTCCCATACGAAGTCATAATTAGCTAAGAATTTGTACCATCAAGATTATTGCTATGATAATTTCTTCTATATTTGGAAGAATATGTTACAATGTTGTCAGTCTTGACAACAAATCTTAGCCCTAACAGGTATACTATCCATATACCAGGGCAGTGCTTCATTGTCATCATCTTTTTCTCATGGGTTGAGTATTTATGTTTAGCATTATTTAACTTGTTGCTCATAATTTTTTACCTATGTTTTTGATAAATTTTTAGAAAAAATCAAAAATAGCAAAAAAACAACAAAAACCCTAAAACAAAAATACATTTTGATATATTTGCATTATTTTTAGCATTTTTAACATCATCTTAAAAGAATTTAAATTTTCAAAAGTATTTTAAACGTGTTCAACTTTTAACACGTTAATTTTACAATCACTGATTTTTTAAGTTGATGTTGATATTGCTCGCTTTAAAAAATATAAAAAAATCAAAATTATGCTACTGTGAAATAGAAAAGGGGGAGAAAAATTTACTGACAGGGAGAGAAGAGAAAAATTTACTGAGGCGGAGAAAAATTTGCTTGGGAGGGAAGAAAAATTAAGAGAAAAAAAAAGGGAAAAGAGGAAAACCAAAAAAATCTATCCTCTCTACAGCTGCCTCTTTCCCTTTGAAAAAGCAAAAACCTAAATCCACTTTGAGGAGCCGCGGTTGCAAGTTCTTTATTGAAAAATAAAGAACTGGAGCTCTTTGACTCGAACAAGAGCTTTGGGTCCCACAACCATTTCTTCCCCAACTCACCACCACAAGCCTCGACCCTAGCATTTCCCTCTGCTGGCCAAAAAGACAGTCACCTCGCCCTTTAAAGAAAAAACTCTGCCAAAAAGCCGGTCACCCCACCCTTTGAAGAAAAAACCAGAGTTCTCTTCCTTGGGGGCTTTCCCAAAAAACCAAAAAGCTCCCTCATTTTCCTTCATCTCCCAGCTGGCTTGCTCTTCTTCTTTACCCATAGAAGTCAGCCGCCGCTGCACACACCGAACAAACTCCCCTCCGTCAGCTACAGCAGCGGCAACAGAGATGTCCCTATCATCACTAGAACCACAGATTGGCCTTCCCCGGTGATATCTCCGCCTCAACACCGTCAGCCACCTCTCCCATCTCCACAGCAGCTCCAGCGGCCGCGGGCGACAACAAATCTCTTCTTCATCTCCACCTGTCAAACCTAACAAAAGCCTAGCAGCTGGCGGCCCTCTTGGTCATACAACCAACCACCTGAAATAAAGAAGGGGAAACAAAAAGGAAAAGAACCGATCTGTAGAGGAGCCGATCTGAAATGGAGAAAAAGAGAAAGATGTAGATTTGAAAACAAAGGAAAGAAAACTAAAATCGACTGCCTGTTGTGTTTTTGGGTGTTTTGCAGGTCACACCAGCAAGGATGGGAAGAGGGGAGGAAGCTATGACTGACCCCTATTTTTTCCAGTGTTTTGTGAGGCGGCGCGTGGAAGAGATACGCCACCACTACTTTTGTGGTCCAAAAGGACTCCCCTACAATTCATGGAGCTTTAGGGCTTATTTTGCAAATTTTAAATTTTTCATGTAATTTTTTTATTTAGTTTTGAATTTTTATTATTTGTAGTGTTGATGTAACAAAAGAAAAGAAAAGAAAAGAAATATAGTGAAAGTGTATACGTGTTTGTATTTGTTCTATGGATGTTTCTTTTTGTTTATGATAAAATTGCAAAGAATAAAGAAGAATTTAATATTTTGATTTGCTCACGGTTAAGAATTATAAACTTAAAAAATAAGTTACATTTCTAATATCTAATGAAAAGACAACAATTATTAAAACTTTTTTAACACATCAAAGTCACGAAGCAGCTTACCTCAGGTAGGGTGTTTTAGGGGTGCTAAAACCTTCTCTAACCACAACCAGCCATTTCCCGTGAATTTCTGACAAGACCATACACCCGAGTTTCTTAGTAGCCCTTAATTAAATACTAGATGGCAACTCTAACGAACCAAATCAAGCAACATAATGAAAGATCGCCAACGAATCGTCGCGTGGTGATGTGCGACATAACTTATGACTCTTAAAAGTAATTGAATACCCCTCTTGCATGAGCAATCCCTCTAATGGCCCTATTCAAAGCATCAGTATGCATTTCAAAAGGTTTATTAAAATCAGGTAGCCTCAAGACTGGAGCTGACGCTACTGCTATCTTCGACTTCTCAAAAGTTGTTAACAGTCAACTAACCATTTCTATTTTTTATTCTTCTTTAGAAGATCTAAGAGAGGAGTTTTTTTTTTTTTTTTGTATAGTCCTTAATGAATTGTTTGTAGTAATTTGCAAGCCCAAAAAGTGATCTCAACTCCAGGACTGTCTTTGGTGCTGACCATTCAAAGATGGCTTGAATTTTCCATTGATCCATCTCCACATGTCCCTCCCTAATTAAATGGCCTGAGAACATAATCTTAGTTTTTGCAAACTCATATTTTTCTCTCTTTACATAAGCCCAAAAATCATATTGGGGTGTAACATGGTAAGAAGCTATTGAAAGTGGTATCCTAACATACAAGATTTTAACATAACCATCATCGCAAACAATGGCAACATCATAATCAAATACAATTGTAGTTGCACCATTCTCTTTATTCTTATATTTATCTTTGTCCTTTTTATCTCTTTTATATTTTCTACAATCTTTTTTAATATGCCCCAACTCATCCCAATAATAAGACTTAATTCCCTTTTTTGACTGAAATCTTCCTCTTCCAATTGCCTTTTTTTTTTTATCAAATTCTCTATTACTAGATTTGATATCTTGTTTATTATAAAAAAAAAACCTATTTTAACTTCTCCCTTGACTTTCTGTAACAAATGCATGGGACACATAAGTGTTTGTCTCTTTCCTTCTCTCTTCATTGAGAATAATATCATCCTTCACTTTCTTTAAAGTGATCTCTCTATTCAGAGTAGAATTGTTAAGTGACATCACCTAAATCTCTCAACTATCCACCAATGAACTTAATAAGATTAGTGTATCTCATCAGTTAACTCAATAAAATAATGCAATCAATCACACAAATCAATACTAAGATTTTTATGTAGAAAACTCGATGCGGGAAAACTCATGGGGTGATAGTCTACCTAAAACACTTCCATTATTAATAAATAATTAAGTACTACAAATATACATATATATCATCAAGAACAATCTACTCTTGGAATACAATAAGATTAAAAAGAGAAGTGTTGGACAAAAACTCACAACATTGATAGTCACATTTTCTAACACAAAAACCAATTTTTGCATTACCAATCTTCGATACCACTTTGTTAGAAAAAATATGAACAATTAGACACTAATCTAGCCAAATCACAATTCATAATTGTCAAGTCCTAATCATTTTCCCTTTTCCCTCCTTGTATAATTGAAATTAGGATCACCCAATCAATAAAATAATACAATCAATCACACAAATTAACATAAAAAATTTTATGTGAAAAACTCAATATAGAAAAAAAAATCACGGAACCGTAATCTAGCTAAAAAACTTTCACTATCAATAAATTAAGCACTACAAATATACATATCATCAAGAACAATCTACTAGTAGAATACAATAAGATTAAAGAGAGAAGTGTTAGACAAAAAGTCACAACACTGATAGTTACGTTTTCTAACACAAAAACCAACTTTTTCATTACCAGTCTTCTATCCAACCATTTAGAATAAAGAGTAATATATTTAAAAGCTATTGTAAAAATTTCAGTATGATCCAACTGTTAACGATTTGAAAATCAAAGAATGAAAATAAACAATTTAATTGCCCCTTCTTCCTTTCTTTCTCCTATGTTCTCTCTTCCTTCCCCTCTCTTAATTAATTTTGGTATGTGTGGTGCACCATGTAGCTAGATATTCCTACCTTCATTCTTCAATTTCCAACTCAACATCGGGTTGAGATTTTGACAATTGTTTCTAGACACATTACTTTTCATTTTAGATGGTTGGATCAAAGATTGATGGTGCAGAAATTAGTTTTCTTGTTAGAAAACGAGACTATCAACATTGTGAGTTTTTTTCAAATACTTCTTTTTTTAATCTTGTTGTATTGTAATAATAGATTATTCTTGATAATATATATATTATAACCGATAGTTATATCTAAAAAAGAACACTTATGAACCTATAATTAATTTGTTGGTAGTGGAAATTTTTTAGGTGGCTTATGGTCCCATGGTTTTTCACATATCAGGTTTTCCATGTAAAAATATTAGTGTAGATTTGTATGATTGATTGCATTACTATTGATTAGACGATCACAATGAAAAAAAGAGATTAGGACTTGGCAATTATAAATTATAATTGGTTAGATTAGTACGTAGTTATTCATATTTTTCCCAAAAACCTTCACCTCTGCGTTGCTATTTTAAAACTAAAAGACAAATGTCACAACGTTAACGACTAAATTAGTTATCCTGAAATATTAGCAAGGAATTTCAGTTTTGAACTCAATCCCCAACAGAAACTAAGAACAGGGAGAAATATTAGCCTCACAAGACCAATTCGTTTGGAAACTGATATGTGTATGCTAGAGTTTTGTCACAGTTGTGAATTATCTATTTTCATGCCTTGTTTTGATTTGAAAAGTGAACTTGATTTATTGTTCTATATTTGTACTTATTTTTTGTTTAATATATTTGTATGTTCACTCTCTTCTTATTATGTTTATATTAATTATTTTACAAATATACAAATATATAAATAAACGATTTCCAATATATAAATAATCTTTCTCTTGGATTCTTTCTTTGTTCTTTTTACCTAATAATCTTCTCTAGATATCTGATTTAACTCATGTTCATGTTCAATCCAATGTCACAAATAAATAAATAAAGCATCAAAGAGAGAGAAAGAAGACAGAAATTTTACGTGGTATTGTATACACATCCAACCAAACCCCCTTGGAAACCATTCTTTTATTGGAGAGAAGGGTGTCAGGATGATGAAATGTGGAGCCAAATGATTGCGCTATCCCTCCTGACAACAAGTTGTTGTTTTCCCTGTAACCTCAACAGATGGCAGGAGTTTTGAGATATCTGTGGCTTCATTACTAATTTATATACTAAGATCAGACAAATTTCAGAAAATGTATCTACCCTGGAAGTGGTCGCTCTGGTCAAACATATGCACACAAGAGGCAGATTGGTTCTGTTTTGATTTCAGAATCAGCGAATGCGATTCAAGTGAGAAAATGGCTCTGGATTTGCTTTAGGAGCGGCCTTAGCAGCAATTTCAGGAACCCCAAAAACATTCCAGAATCTGAGTGTTTCATCCCCTGCCGCTGTTGCCACTGTACAACCATCCGGACTCTGTAGGAAAATGGCACAAAGTTAATAAATTAAAGCTTGAAATAAAGATTATTAAGAGAATCAATTTCGGTTTTCAAATTATTACCTGAGCCATGTAAAGGACTCTAGAAGTATGGCCAGTGAGCTCTGCCATTTTCACCATTGATGGATATTTCCAAACAGTGAGTTGATTCTGAGTAAACCCATGAGAGCTAAGTAGTTCCCTTTCATTCTTGTTCCACAAAAGAGAACAAACCTGAGATCCGGTATCAATCGAGTTCAAGCAGGCACCTGTATGTGTATTCCAAAACTTAATACTCCTATCTCCTCCACCTCCTCCAGAGGCTAGCAAATTCCCTTGGAAAGGACACCATGCCAGGGCTTTCACTGCTGAAGTATGGTCCTCAAGCCTGTGAAGCCACTGTGTTGCTGAGTTTGATAATGCTGTAGATCTATCCCATATATGGATTAGATTATCATTGCCTCCACTTGCTAATTGCTGACCTGAAGCGGACCATTTAAGCCCACAAACCTCCTGTGTATGCCCTCTGTAAGTCTCAACAATGTGTGATCTAATTCTCACGTCATTGTTAATGATTTGACCATCCATTCCCCCTGTTGTCAGGATGTGATTATTCCATGCCATTGACCCAACTCGCGATCTGTGGCCTCCTTTCAAAGCTCTTAGCTGTAGGGAAATCACCAAAACAAATACTATAAGCAAACAGTAACAAGAGAAACTTTACCAAAGAAGGACAACATCAAAAGAGGTATGGGCTTATATATTACCTGTCTATTGGAAGCAGAATCCCATAACTGTATATGAGAATTGTTCAAGCCTATGGCAATATGGCGTCCATCAGGAGCCCAATTGACACTGGTAACGGGTCCATCTTCATCATCAACCGTGACCAATTCTGATGTAGAACCGTCTGAAGCATCCCACAAATAAACAGTGCTTCCAAGAGCTATAGCTAAAACATTGCTGCTGCCCCAATCCAATAAGTTGAGGTAGAAATCATCCACAAGATCCGGTGCATCCAATGTCCTCTCAGAAGTCTGAGGAATATGTCGGCGAGGCTTGGCTGTTTTGTGCTGGTGGTGATGATGAGAGTGGTCTTGAGGCATCAACTCAACAGGTGCAGGAGGCTTGTTCTTGAAAGCTAGAATTCGAGTTCGGTTCATGTTCAAGGAATCAGCAAGTTGCTTCCTGTAAGCCTCTCTTGACGGCGAGTTCACTGTTGGGTTCTCTTTTCCTTTTCTCCCTTCTGTTAGCATGAAACGGGCATAATCCATATCCATGGCTGACCTGTTTGGTATAAATCTATCCAACTGTTGCAAGAATCATATTACAATAACAACTGATAAGAACACAAAATTCGTTATTACATCATTATCAGATATCATCAAGAAAACCAAATCAAAATCTTACGTTTTCTTTAGAGTTCGTTCTCGGAAGAAACTGCTGTTGAAGAGGGAAACGAGATTGTGCTCTCAAGCTTGAAGAAGTGTTCATAGATCCTGCATCCATAACGAAAAACAGCCAAAAACAAATAATATACAGATAGATAGGAAAAAAAACAAAAATAAAGAAACCCTACAAGATTGTGCCTTCTGCAAAACAGAAATGTTAGAGATGAAATTAAGAAACGCAATTAATAAGAAAGAAGGAGAAAGAGAAGGAGAAAGTCAGAGAAAGAGAAGGAGGAAGAGGGGGTCTAGGCGATGTGTTCTTGATCTTTGCAGAGTATTTGATTCGATTTGATTGGGATTTTTCGGAGGAAGTTGATAGGTTTATATAGTTTTAGAATGCGGCTTTTCAAAGATGAAGAACGAATAGAGACTAAACCCTAGGGTTTTGTTTGCAACGGCTACTTTTTCTTAAAGAACCGTTGTAAATTTGGTTTGACCAAACTGTCCGTTCAGGAGAGCTGTAATTGGAAATTTCATTTCATCAATTCTTGGACTAAAATGTAAAAAAGGCTTAGGTCCCAGCTGCTTAAGGAAAGGCCCAAATAGAATAGTGTTTAAGGTTGTGTTTGTTAAATTTCTCTTAATAAAAGGGATATAAATTTATTTGGATGGAAAATAAATATAAAAATATAAAAAAAAATTATCATATTTTAAATTGAATTTCTTTCATTTTAAAATATAAAAGATCGATAAAAATATTTTTTTTTCTATCTTTATTGTGGTGGTTTTATATATCTCGGGATAATAATTAAACAATACTTAAAAATTAAAAAAGAAAGACGTTACAATTTATATAGTGGACTATATATATTTTATTTTATATTCAATGGGAGGATTATGACTTTAAATGGAATGACTTCAACAGAAAATAAATGGGAAATTATAATAATAGTTTTTTAGATATCTTGAAATTACGTAGAGCATTTAAAAGTTTGAAGATTTGATATAAATCTAATTTTATACAAAGAAAAAAATTCCTTGATGACAATTAAAAAAATATTTAAATAAATTTATATAAAAAATAAAGAAGAAATTTAAAACGAAACTCATAACAAAATTGACCAAAATTAAATAATAAAATTGCTATTATTCACATTCTAAAATAATAATCATACATGTCCATTATTTTATATTATTTATAGTGGCTTTTTTAAATGGCCGTGTTCCTTATTTTGGATTAAAAAAAGGTGGGATTCTATAATATTTTTTAAAATTAAATATATAAAAAGGTTTTTGTCAAATCTTCAAGTATTTTGATGGTTAAAGAAGATTCTCATGAGAGTTATCATTAACAAAACCTTATTGGTAAACTCTAAATTAATTTTTAACTTAACAAGATTTATTAAAAACTCGATTATAATTTGTTAATTATTTTTTATATTTTATTAAAATAACATAGTTTTGATTTATAAAAATATTAGAATTGATCGTGTGACTCAATCAAAACTCAGTAATTGTGTTCCAGATCTTAAGCTAAGTGATTAGTACTTAAAAGTGCATTTTTATCATGGTTTTATATCATCATTTTGCACTTGAAGTATCAATAACTCCTTAACTAAAGCATGTTTTATAATAATATATCTAATAATATAAGATACCTATAAATTGTGGTAAATGTCTATTTTTAATGCAGGTCTATCACATAAATGAAAGGATTGATTGATGACTTGAAGAACTTAAATTACAACGATAAAGAGATGGCCAAACTTAGAAAAGAGATGTCGGTGCAATCCAAACCGGAACACTGTTCGGTAATTGGGTCATATCTAGAGCTACAGATCTCAGATTTAGGTCCAATTTATATGGATAGAAAGGTAAGACATAGGCCTACAACTTTCATATGGAGCCCAAGATCTAAAAAGGCCATTATCAAGTCCAAATTGTAGCAACAACAAAGAAGCCCGAATCTGTCTTCCAGCCCGAGCACTGTTCGGTATTTTGGCCATATCTGGAGTTCTAGAAGTCCAAATGAGCTGAAGTTTTTACACAAGAAAGCTGAGACAATTGCCTACAACTTTCATGTTTACAACTGGCTCCAATTTTGACGTTATCAATGACGTTTTGGGCAGACAAGAGAAGATAAGGATTGTCACCAAGTCAAAAGTTGGTCACCCACTTATCAATTAGTCATCAAATCAATAGTTCCCATTTTTGGCCTATAAAAGGAGGCATTTGCCATGCATTTAGGCATCTTGATTTCCAGATCAAGATCATGCTCTTCCTTTCTCTCTTTGTATTTTTTATGCTTTGTTTTCATTAATATTAAGTTTATGCCTTTCATTTCCTTTCCTTTACTTAGTTAACTTTTATGTTCTTATTTTGTTTATCTATTTTGCTTTCTTTCATTATGTCTAGCTAAGTTAATTATGTCAAGGTGAAAAGGTTACACTAATGGTGTAAGAATAAGTATAATGTAAACTTAATATGGACTTTAATGTTTGATACTAACATGTTTTATATTTGCTATCTTGTTCACTCTTTAATACTTTGCTTGTTAAATGACTAATCTTGATTTATGTTATATAACACTTGGTACAACAAATGCTTGGCACTTTCATAGCCCATAATGTATGGTATAACCGACACCTGAGCTATGAAAGGAACTTGATTTGTTGTTAACATAAGTTATAATCATGAATGCTTGACGAGATTTACAAGTATTAGCATTAATTGAATAAGATGACTAATGTAATCATGTTAACAATATATAATCTGATTGGAACCTCCTTTGTGTGTGGTTTCCAATTCAATAATAAGAGTTTATACTATACTTGTTTGATATACCATTAGTGGAACCTCTAACCTTGACATTTGTTATTATCATTGTTTAATCGTTACATTAATATTCCATCTCAAAGTTCTCATCATCTTCTTCTTCTTCTCTTTCTTTATTATTATTATTATTATTACTACTACTACTACTACTACTACTACTACTACTACTACTACTACTACTACTACTACTACTACTACTACTACTACTACTACTACTACTACTACTACTACTACTATTATAGTGGCTTTTTTAAATGTCCGTGTTCCTTATTTTTGATTAAAAAAAAGATGGGATTCTATAATATTTTTTAAAATTAAATATATAAAAAGGTTTTTGTCAAATCTTCAAGTATTTTGATGGTTAAAGAAGATTCTCATGAGAGTTATCATTAACAAAA